CAAAGATTAAAGCATTATACCTGAAATCAAGAAAGGAAGATATGAATGAGATAACAGCATTATTTCTGGGTGATTTTTCAGAAAACTATAAATTTGTAGTTCAGGATGAAGTGCAAAGTTCATTGGACAAAATTTCAATGTACACTTCATCCAGTAATTTATTTCAAAAAAGAAGGCATTCTCAAGCACAAATCCTATTGTATTATTTCGGATGATATGATCCATGATGTGAACATGGTTTATAAAATTATTGAGGTTGTTTGCAATGATATAAAAACAAATTTACCTCAAATAAAAATTATTGAATATTTTTCAGATGGGTGTGCAGGTCAATATAAGAATTGCAAAAATATGTTAAATCTTTGTTTCCATTGTGAAGATTTTGGTTTTACTGCTAAATGGAACTTTTTTGCAACTAGTCACGGTAAGCAACTTTGTGATAGGATAGGTGGTACAGTCAAACGTCTGGCAACACTAGCAAGTTTGCAAAGAGATATGGGTAATCATATTTTATCTCCACAAACAATGTATAAATAATGCAATGAAAACATTAAAGGCATAAACTTCATATATATCTCATCAGAAGATTTAACTTTGGCGAGAACCGCTCTTAAAGAACAATTGGATACTGCTAATACAATACCTGGAACACGTAGTTACCATCAGTTTGAACCACTTGGCCATCAAAAGGTAAATTAATTTTTTGTAATTATGCCTTTTACCATATTTTAAAATACACGCATAATTTTTATTGATAAACTCAAATAGATATTAGATTTTTGCAAAATCATTGTCAAACAAATTTGTATTTTTTTTTATTTCCTCTGCATTTGCTATCTATGTATTTAATAAAACATGCTTGATAAGTAAAACGGAGTAATTGCATATGTTACAATTTTATTTAGGTAGGCACTAAGCTATGCAGTGTTGATGAGCAAAAGTAGTAGATAGGAGTCATTGATGATATTAATTTAGAAGAAAAAGATTTGCTTGTAAAATTTATGTGTCCTAATGGTCCTGCACGGTCGTTTAAATGGCCACCAAAACGAAAGCCAATGCTGGATTCCTAATGTCTATATTATTTTCAAAGTTAAGCACCGATAACAAAAATAGGACTTTGCTACTATTTAGCCAAAGAGGACTTTAAATTATTTTCCTAAAGAAGTAGAGATTTTTATATTTATGAGTCTATTATGTCTTATCCATTCTTTTTTTAAATATTATGTTTTGTAAACCAACTTGTAAATAATGTGAATGTAAAGCATATATAAAATCACTAAAGTTTAGTATTTAGAAAAAAAATTTATATACGTTTAAATTTTGTTGTAAATATCATATGAAAATGAAAAAATATAATAAAGTCACTAAATTTTTAGTTTCTAGTTTGATTGATTTGTAAAAAGTGGGGTTATATTAAGTGTATAATTTAAAAAACATTAAAAAATTTTGTGTCTTATATCAAACATAAATAATTCCTTAAGTAAACATAAGGCCAAAACAAAATTAGTTCGAAAAGTAGGTGTTGATCTTATTTTTAAGAAAATCGAATTTAAATTTTTTTTATATCAGTCAGATTTTTTTTATAGCTATAATTGTCAATTCCCTTTTTTCTCAGCGTTATAAAGTGTTTTTTATGGATTTAAAATAAGCTACATTACCTTGTTTTGACATATAAAAAAATATATTTTTCGGATTTAAAAGGTTTTAAACTCTTTTGGTACAAAGTTTCAGAATTGTGGCATCACTACAAGCACCATATTTAGGTGAAAGTAAACGGAATGATTTTCGGCACTTTCCCCCCCTCATTTTTTAGTCAAAATCAAGAAAACTTCAAATTGCTGTAAACTATAAATGGTGAGGAATTTTATGAAAAAACATTACATTCTTTCCTAACATATGTCTATAAACATTTTTGCCAAGTTTCAAAAGTTTTAGTGATATAGGGTGCAGATTTGTGTTTTTTTGTTTTCATTTTAAACTGTGCACTAAGCAGTCTAAACTTTTCTTTAGTTTTCTTTGATTAAACACTTATGTTTTGACCATACCCCCTAATTAAAATTCAAATACAATACTATTGTCGTTTGGGAGCAATTTATTGACAATCGCAGTTTAAAATATTCATATAGGATTAATAAAATTAAAAAAACACACTATAATTGTTTGTGTAAAAAAAAGTAAAAAAACAAAGATCTTTTAATTTTTATATAAAGTTTGAAAATGTAGTTTTCTTTCTCATACTGATAGCCAAATACGTTTTTGGAGCGTAAATAACGACTTTTAAACGTTAAATTAACAAAATTCAAAGATGCATTTTTTATTAAAAAAAAAAAATTTATCTAGAAGATGATTTTTATAAAGTTTATTTATTTAAATAGTAATATCCTTAATCAAATAAAATTAATGCAATCTGGATTTTTACGTTTTCAGTTTAACATAATTAATATATACCTTTTTAAAAAATAGGTACCGGATTACATATAACAAACCGGACTGTATATACAAACCAAATATACTAATGTACAAATAGAGCTGTATCTCTAATATCAAAAGTACCAAATAGCAGTTTTTAATTTTTGTGGCTTTTTTACCACTACATTGATAAGATTTCAATAAACTCTTGCAAAAACAAGTTTATGAACACTATAATAAGCGTTTACATGTAGAGATTTTCAAAATGTTGAATACATATTTATATCTTTATTTTGCTTCTCAAGTTAATACATATAGCGTTTTCTCAAGTTGATACCAGCATTAATGAATTTCAACTGCTTTCAGTTTTGAGACAATTGACGTTTACTTTTAATTTTGTAAACCATCCTACCTAAATTTTAAATAGTGTTGATTTATTTTTCCTTTTCTATTGGTGTTGTTTTATATTTCCTTTATATTACCTTTCTTGGTTTACTATTATGGCATCTAGTTTTATAGTCTTTGTCTAGCATTAGGGTTTTGTGTGAAAAAACATGATCATACCCATTTCAAATGTTTGAACATTTTTATCATATCACCCTTTCTTTGTCTGTTCTTCAACAATAGTAAAAAGTATTTTTTAAATCTCTCTTCATAACTGTTTTGTTTCATGCACACTGTTAATTCTAGTAGCACTCTGTTGGACATTCTTTACCTTAACTATATCATATCGCCGATAAAGATTCCAAATGGAAGCTGTTTATTCAAAACTATGTGCAAATTTTTTCGAGAAAGAAACCAAGAATATTAAAATGAAAATTTATTTACTTTACACATACAGCCGTAAAAGCTGTAAAATAAACTTAGTTTACATCTAATTGTCGTTAATACTGTTTAATTGAAAATATTCATTTGGTAGTTTTATTAGTATTTGTAATTTATAATATATACCCTTAAACTGGAAATATTCGTTTATTCTTAATTTTTAATTAAATATAATATATACCGTTAAAGTAGAGCTATTCGTTTTTATCCTTCTTTTAAAAATATAATTGCCGTTTAAAAATATAATATGCCGTTTTTGACATGTATTTTGTAAAAAATATAAATCGTTTTATTAGAACGACGCGTTTTTTTTTAGTAAATATTTAACCACAATTTATGCTCTTTAATGGAAAATATTTGTTTTATTCATAGTTAATATTTAGTTTTAGCTTACACTTATGCCTAAACTATTGTCAATTTATTTACCCACTACAAAAGTTTAAAATAATTTCATATTAAACAGAAATCCCTTCTCTACTGCTTTTAAAATATTAAAAAATATTGTCAAAATGCAACGAAGTCGTAAAACAAATTATGCAGTAAAAAATTTTATGGGAGTAAAAAAAAAAACAAGAAAAAGTTTTATGATACCATTTATATATTAAACTAAACTACTCAGACGCTATGGTTTCTTTCAACAAAGTTTCTTAACTGAACTTTTTCTCGAATTTTAATTTTATGGAACGTTTTTTCATTTATTTTTATGTCCAAGCATGGGACTTTATAACGATTTTAAACAATTCTTTATGTTTTCACTATTTAGCAATTTAAGACGAGTTATTTTTAACCAATATAGAGATTCATTTTATGCTTATTTCTATTGAAAATTAATTTTTGTAATTGTTAAAAAAAAGAAAACTTAAACATATCAAAAATGAATTTAAATTATTCCAAACATCTTTTTTTAACCAAGTATGTCAATAATATATCTAAAACGTTCTTCTAGCCATTGCTGACAATTTATAAATATTAATAGTATTTAATTTAAAATTTTATTTACATTTTTCACTATATTAGATAAAAATATCTAAAAGCTAAAATTAAAGATATTTTTAATTTAGCTTTCACTTATGTATATATTACATAAGAACTCATAAATTTGTTTATTTTTATGCATCCGTCAGTAAATTGTGCAATAAAACTCAAAAATTTTGGGCCTTAGCCATCTCTTATATAAGTCTTTCTGAAATTATTTACATATTATTTCTGAAATCATCCTGTCTGAGAGTAACCTGTGTTATAGCGGTTAATAAGTTGTCTAGGATTCGTGTAATTTATTAATTATATTGAAGTATAATTAATTATAAAGTTTAATAAATATATAAAATTAATTATATTAAAGTAAATTACATTGGCAATATAGGAGTCACAAACATCCTAGTTAAAAATACTTTTCCGTGGTGCTCTGTGGTAAGACTGTTTTATATTCTGGCAGCACCTTAATAACTTAAAAAAAAAAATGAAAAAAAGAAAAGATTTTTATTTTATTTCATTTTACTAATATTATTTGTCCTTATGCAAAAAAAATATATGAAATTGTCTCGAGTTTTGCAAAAATATAATACAAAAATGATAATTTGAACATAGGGTTTGAAAAGTAATTTTTTTTTTGATAAAAATTTCAAAAAAAATTTAGCTGATTTTTATTTTTAATTTGTTTTTGCTTTTTTTATGTAAAAGTTAAATTAGGTAAAAAATAAATTTAACGAATAAAAAGCAATAAACGCAATAAAAGTCTGTTAAATTTTTTTTTGTAATTATTACAGCTATATTTAGAGATGGTTACAATGTCGGCATTTAAATATTTGCATGGAGCAGTTGGTAAGTCGTTGATTATTGCTATTCTGATTAAAATATTTTGGTACTATAAACTAAACTAACTTTCCATATTATTTGGTATTGGCGTGTTTATTTTTCTAACGGCTTTTGATCATTTAAGTGAAAGTTTAATTATAAACAAACTTTTTTTTTTTAAACTCACCTTTTTTGTATTCATTATACACATTAAAGAAAGAATTTTTTTATTACAAACCCGGCAAAAAGACGTTTATTAGACGTCTATTGAAAACTTATGTAAACGTCTCAAATCCACCACTAGACGTCAATCTGTTTACACAATTGAAACGTCTTATAATGACGTCTGTAAGACGTCATGTAATAGTGATCCTTAAAAGATCCATCGTCCATAAAGTACGAACGCTCTGAGTGGAAGAGAAGGTCTGCAAATGGCGTTTCTGAGATAAGGGGGCAGTTGGTCAATTACAAAAGTATGGATTCACTAAACTAAAATAATATCATAAAATGTTGGGTTAGTAGCTTAAAAACGTAGGTGGTTCTTTCAAGGAGGTAGACAGTACTCGAAAAATTGTACGGCAAGTTCGGGGGGGGGGGGTTGTTTGGCGATAAAAAAGCGTATGTAATTTATGGACGACCTCTTAGTACAAAAATTCCTTTTTTTATTTGTTTGACTATTTTTACTACTGTATATTCATTCTCAGGGCAAAATGATGTCGCTTGACGTCGAATTTACGTAAAGGTTGACGTCGGATTGAAGGCGGATTTACGTTGGAATAAGAAAAAATTTTCGACGTCAAAAAAAAAAAAACATTGAAACGACATTAGATTACAAACGTAAATACAATGTCATTTGACGTTGAGCTATGTTGAAACGACGTCGGATTTCCGACGTAAATACGATTTTTAGTTTTTTACAATATCTTTCGGCAGACGCCCAACTTCCTTGACAACAACTTTGCTAGGTGCATACCGCAATACGCTTTAAACTTTCGCTTTGATATTGTAAATTGTAACTTTCCTTCTATTTGTCAGAACAATCTCTAAACAGAAATTGACATAATAAATGTATAAATATATAAAAACCCACACAAACTTTCGTGCGGCCGTGGTGCTTGCTTTATAAGCAGGAGATCCAGACTCGAAAAGAGATTTTGACATAATTTCGCATCACAGCAAAGAAAGAGGCGTGAACTTGCTGGTTAAATGCACTTTTGCGATGCTCTGTGACAGCACCGTTAGGTAATCTTGGGGTAACTAAATAACAAAAAAATAAACTGATATTATATATTTATAGTTTATATAATTACTTTATAAAATATTTTGGTTTCTAAATCTTAAGTTACTTCAAAAAATGAATTGACTGACAAAAATAGTAAAAAATATATATATATGTAAATGAAAAAAAAATAATTAAAAATTAATATGTTTAATCTGACGTGAAAAAGGCTAGATAAGATTTACCCATTTTTAAAAAAATATATATGATATTAAATGGTTTATAATAATAGAAGAAAAGTTACCAATAATAAGCTCAAAAACTTTCAAAATTTCAAAAAGTAGTTTATCCTGAGTTTCTTGTTTATTTTTTTGTGCCGATTCACAATTGAAAGTAAAATCTCTTATAATATTTCCGTACTTTATAAAACAAATTTTTAAATGCAAAAGCTCTAATGAAAATTTATTTTTCATTTATTCACAGCTATCTTTCTTACTGCAACGTTGCATGAGGAACAACGAATTACGGAAAACTCAAAAAACTTTATAGTAAACAAAAACATGCTTGTAGGATTATATTTGGGGCAAACAGAACTGTTTATTGCGAACCGCGATTAAATCGTCTCAAGTCCTTGAACATTTATAAACTAAACACTTACCAAACATTACTTTTTATGTTTAAAATGAAACATGGAATATCTTCACTTATATTTCAATCTTATTTTAGCAAAATATCTCATAAGTATCCAACAAAGTTTTCAGAGATTACTTTATTGTTCCGAGAATTAATTTTAAAATAAGTTCTTATCGAATTCAATATCGAGGACCTTTTTTATGGAAAAATTCTATTAAGAACACTACTCTTTAGAAAAATTTAAAACAGTTTCTAAAAGAATCTAACTTAAATTAGATTTTAATTCAACAGACTTTAATTATTTTTTTAAAAGGTAATTTTAAAATAGAAAAATCGAATACAATAGAACTAAATATATTTTGTTATATGTATCAAATATATTTGTATTAGTATACAAAACTGTCTTTATTTTTAAATTTTTAATATAATTGTTATTTTATTATTTGACAAAAGTTATGTACTCTTTAACCTTTTTTTGTATATTTTATTCATATTTGTTTATAAACACGGACATTTTGTAAACGGGGCTCGGTGATAAGACAGTCATTGTCTTCTTCTTGCTCCGGCCAATTTTTATAAATGTAATATGTCTTTATTGTAAATATATGAAACGGCCAAATAAAAAAAAAAAAAAAAAAAAAAAAACTGTAACTTAGCTGAAATCTAGTGTTGTATTTAAAGCCATTAGGCGAAAAACTAAGCCAAAGGTTTACTTATAGGTTTTTTTAAAATGAATAAATAAATATTTTAAAAAGCTTACTTACTTATTTTTTAAAAGATTAACTTATTCAAATTTTTGAATATGTAAGTCTTTTAAATCTTTTAGTAAGCGATTTTGGGGTCAAATAATTCAAAATTTTCCAGTTATTATAGAGATCAGTGTTCAAAACAAACAAAAAAGCGCATTGAGATTAACTGGTAAATAAAAAAGACAATGTTGTGAAACAGCATTGGTTAATGATAGATTTAGCTTCTTAACTTGTAGCTTTGTTGTGCTTTCTCTCTTTATGAGATGTGTGAAAATGCTTCAAACAGTTTTCTAATTTTAATGCTAAGATATGGTTGCATAAAATCAAAACATCATTGAAGAGTCCTAGAGGACGAAAAAGTATTTAATGTTACTCTCGATACAATCGAGGAAGGGGGTTGAAATGAAAGGGTGGGTGAGAGTTTTATTCCAGGTTTAATAAAAGGGCTTAATAAACGGAAGAGGGGGAGTGGAACTTACACAAAGTTTCAATATTTATTATTTACTAGTATATATTTCTTAATTCATTAAGCTGATTTTCACTTAATTAATTTTTATTACTTTATATATATTATTATATGTATTTATATTATGTGTTTTTAGTATTTTTAAGCTTCTTATAAGTTTATTTCATAATTATTTGTATTAACATAGATGATTATTAATGATTTCATTGAAAACGCAGTTATTAATGTAAGTATTTTTGTTTACAAAATCAATTGCACAAATTGCATTAAAAGATTACATTTAAATAAAATACACATACATAAAATTACAGACATAAAAAATACATACATAAAAATACATTACATAAAAATACATTACATACATAAAAAAAACATCCCTTTTATATAAAAAAATGAGAATATGCTAATAAAATCTATGTGTTTACAATTGTTGTCAAGTTAAAAAATATAAATTTAAAACATTTTCTTTTTGTAAACAAATAATATTAGTTTGAAATATTTTTAGCGTTGTATTTGTGGCTTCGAGAATGAGCCATAGTATTATAATGGTAGTTCGTTTGATATTATATTCTTAAAACAATTTATGCTAGCAATTTCAGCGAAAACATAACAAAACTTAATTAATATAGTTTTTAGAAATATTTTAACGGAATACTTAAGAACATTCGGTTAGTATTTTTTGAATACTCTAGAAATTTCGGTTAGTTTTTTTGGAGCCAATAGAATTAATTTTTTCGTAGATTTAGCAGGTTTTTTGTATTCGCGAATATTCTTTTTTTATTTTTTATTTTTAATAAAATTTATTATTATTTTGCAGAAAAAAATGGAAACGTACTTAAACCTAAATGTTCTTAAAACGACAAAAAAATCTGGTCGTTTAAACTAAATATTGTTTCCGTGATCAATTTTTGAGTACAAACGCACCTGCTTCCCCTACGAAGCCTGATATTATTAATCATAAACGTTTAAGCTTCACCGCGAACAAACAAAAAATTTTACAATTGCTCAAGTAAAAAGAAATTTTAGAACTTCATGATAGTACCATCCTAAAAGTATTTACTGATAAAATTGATAGGTTGGAGAACAAAGTTAATACATTAAGTAATAAAAATAATGTTCTTAAAAACGAGTAAAACGATTTTAAAAAAAGTATTCGTTTTTTAAGCGATAAATATGACAAAGTTTTAATTGAGCTTGCCGAAGTAAAGTCTAAAAACGAACGCACGAATCCATTTATTCTTGAAACATTATAACAGAAACATTATTTAAAGATACAAACATGGAACTAACAAAATTATCTAATTGGTTTAAAATTATTAACTTTCACTAAATGTTGAAAAAACCAAAATAAACACTTTTTCATCCAACGTCTAAAAAAAAACTACTTTTTTGTGAACTACCTTTACTTTTTTATTAATAAAACCCATATAAAAAGAGTAACTAGTGCTAATTTTTTGGGTATCTATGTTGATGAAAACCTTAGTTGGAAATACCACATTAATTTCTTGTGTAATAAAATTGCTAAAAGTTTAGGAATATTGTATAAAACTAGAGGTGTAAAACTAACTCTTCCCCAGTTTCTTTCCATAACTTATACAAGCTGAGAAAAAACAACTAATAAAAGATAATTTAATTCGTCAACTATTTTTTCAGACTAATTTTAGAAAATCTAGTATTTCTTTTCGATTAGCTTTTCTTTGGAACAAAATAGTTTTAAAACATTTTAAATTTTCTCTGTAATGGCGTTACTTTTCATTCAGAAATAAGCTTAAATCATTTCGTCTCATGATGATATATTTACATAAGTTTTAACGATATTATTTTGGTGTATTATTTTAGTTTATTATGTTGAATATTTATAAAAACATGCACTTGAATGCAATTAACTACATATGCACTTGACTTTATATAAATATATTTGATTTTATAAAGTTTTAATTTACGAATGGTTCTTGGTGAC